TTCTGGATTTTGATACTCCCGGCGGTCTGCGATTTAATCTCTCGTCACTCAGCTCTCCCAACTTCGCAACTTCGTATGCACTAGGTAGTGTCGGGCTTGTGGATGGCTCTCTTTCCTACCTTTACTCCTCGTTGCCTCTCCGTACCACTTCGCAGAGTGCGAAGATTGATTTATATCAGATAATACGAGGATATCGACAAATACAGGAGCTTAGAAAGGTTGATGAATCATGGATGTGGGAGCAATGGCACGGGGGTAGACGAGTCGATCAACGAGATACATTACTTTATGGACGACTTTATTTACCGCAGAGTACGCTTGAAGCGTTATATTTGAGAAGGATCAGTCCGACGCAGCAAGTGAGGATTACGGCTGTTAGTGACAGTAGGCTGAGAAATGGAGGAACGATGTTAGCTCTGCATCAGTATGATACAGGGAAATATAGTACTGAGACATTGTATTCGACTGATGGTGGATTACTGGGATTGAGAGGGATGTATAATTTTGGACCGGATCCAAGGAAAGAAACCACGGAGCCGCCAAAACAGATGTCAAGGATCGATGATAAATTCTATGGACGATTCAGCGCAGGAGCGGAGCTTTATTATGGAACTTTGAACAAATCAGGAGGTGTTAGCGTTGGAGGAAGGTTTGCCACATTGCCGGCGCATAAGGGGATACCTTTGACAGCCACTTTGACGCTCAATCCATTGATGGGAAATATTAGTTCGACATATGCTGTAAAAGCAGGCAAGAACCTATCCCTATGTTCAAGGCTAGACTTCAATGTCTATAGCTACGAGAGTGATTTGGTCCTTGGATGCGAATTGTGGAAGATGAAAGCACCGGTTGAGGAGCGCAGAGTGAGGAGTATGGAAGCAAAGCTTGCATGGAAACTCGACGAAGTGGATTTGGAAAAGGAGAAGAAACCTGAAGAGGTCGCCGGAGTTCTCAAAGCAAGAATTGACCAGAACCTAAAGGTTGGCTTGGTATGGGAGGGTAGAGTCAAGGAGTTATTATTTACTCTGGGGACTTCAATTGATATGAAGAGGAGAGATCAGCCGTTCAAGGCCTTGGGACTAGAATTGCAATATTCTTCGTGAACATTTCAGTTGTTCGAGTACCTAGGTAGTACCAACACAGTTTGTTCCACAGGGGCTGATACAGTGCCGCTTCCTTTAGGCGAGCTCGGGAAGATCAGACGAGGTTGATATTCTTGTGAAACACAAGCAAGATCCGAAAAGAACTCGACTCGTACAGCGACGTCTCGACCAAGACACCGGAAAATAGCAGTGTGCCATGTCGTATTGATACTATGGATGGCTGAGAGTTGAGAATATCATTCGGAAAACTACCTTGGCGACATCGGATTTATGGTGTCCCCAGCTTTGCAATCATTCCTCGATCTCAATCGAATATTGGAATCAGAAAGTCCCTCGCACCATCTTTAGGGATGTACCGTAATTAGATGCTATGGAGTGCAATCCGGTAGTGGTACGTGAACAGGATGGCTGTGAACGCAACAGAACGGTAATGTTTGATAAGATGATCAATCTATGAAAGCATTGGCTGTTATAAACTCAGCAGGCTATCCAACCCAAGAAAACGCAAGGTTGTAGGACAGGAAATTTTAACCCCGACGTATGATGAGATAAGAGGATCCACACGAGAACGAAATAACTGTTAAACTCCACATCCTGAATGGAGACATGGAGACTGACGTAGAATAATCGAACAATCCACAGATGTGATTCACGTGATATAAACCTTTCCGCCTGTTGTCTCCCGAGGTCGGAGATTCTTCCGAATGGTTACAATTTTCATATATTACCTACCTAGTAGATGGAAGCTAATAATATGATGATAATCGACATGATGCGAAGCACATGCAACGGACCGCTTCGTGCACGCGGCACCACCAGACTATTGTACATTTAGTGTTACCTTGTTGTAACGTCATTTGGAAGAAAGTTCATCTTATCTGTGAATCAATGTCTCTCTTTTGACGGGATCACCTGCATTTTGACATGTCGAGTATCGGTCCAATGTCATCCAAGTACTTTTGGTACCCGAAGTCCAACATGTAAAATGATCCGAGCCGGTCACTCTTAGATGAAAAGAAAATACTGTAATATGCGCGTAGCCGCTGCAGGCGACCGAGAAGTAATTTCCTAGAAATTGATGTTTCCGGCAACTGTACTTTGATGCGACCATTGGTATCTAGTCTAGTATCTAACAAAAAAGAACAATGGTCATAGCATACAAAGTGCTCATGTATTGACATACGACATTACTGACATACTGTACGATACGTACTTCGTACTGACATAATGACCGCATTACTAAGTAAAGGAAAAGGGAAAAGGGAAAAAAAGCTGGAAAAGGATTTTTAACTTTTTAAGGGACTGAAGCGTTTCTCGGACGTTTATCATGTGCCTGATCCAATCACAACGATTAGAATTGATAATTCCAAGGCTGGTTTTGGACAAATGGGAATCCGCCTTACCCGTTATGAGTTAGCCCGGTCAGATATATGGTTTACTCAGCTTGGCTATCTGGTGTCTACCCATCAAGGTTCTCATTTTCATGAATCTCACTGAATCTCATTCTCTCCTCGAGCATTTTCTTTTAGACTTTCCTTTTGAGACCCTCGTAGAGATTCTGGGTATAGTATGATACAATCCAAAGATATCTCCGTGCCTCCTCTTTTCAGTGAAGACTAGATAATGAATGATCTTCTCTCTTCTCTCCTTTCCTTTCCTATTTCTTTCTTCACTTGTATCCTTTTCATGCTTTATACTTTCATATTTTTATACTTTGATACCCCTCAGATTCGCATGTAAATAAATATATGATTGTACATACCTAGTACCTACCCATTAACGTATATCTCTATATATATCTCTATTTATATCTCCATATACATCTCTATATATATCTCCATATCTATATTACTTTTCTTCCTCCCGTTGAATAATATTTCAGCTGTCATATAAAATTGAATCAAGTGGTGATTGTTCGTTGGAAGTTGGAACGGTTCCAGTTTTCACAAACATTTCATTCAGCTACCTCACAAGGTACTTGCCCAGGTATACTTGCTTCTTTTCATTACCAATCCTATCTCTCTCTTTAAAAACTCGTCAAGTACCCCATATAAATGTATAATTTGCTAATCCAACTTTTTCAACTAGCGACGGAGATTCCCACGACCATACAACCTTTGGATTTCCCGCTACACCATTGCAACTAACTTCGTCTACGCAATCATTACCCTCGGTAAATCTCCATTTGACGACATTCATCAATACGGTGGAAGCTTTTCAAACAATCAAACATACTTTCAACGTCCAAGCTTAGCAGGGAATACGGCAATCCCCTAAAGATATCCGACGAGAATACATAGAAGACGGCAGATCTAAGTTGGACGAGCATTCAGGAAGATAGGATATCTGCGAGTGGCAGAAGGAGTTGCAGTTGGCGATAATGTCGGAATATACTGTTGAAGTTACGTGTGGGAGTGGAAATGAATATGATGGACGAATGGGTATACGAATATCTTCCATATTCGTGATTGGGTTTGGTTCCATGATGGGTATGTTTCTCCTTAATTCAATATATAAACTCCCATTTCGCGAGAATACCTTTAACTAACTTGATTTGTAGGTGCTCTTCTACCAATCGCTGCTGCGAGAACGAAAAGGATGAGTGTTCCACCTTTGGCATTCTTTATCACTAAGTATTTCGGATCGGGTGTTATTATAGCTACCGCTTTCATACATGTAAGTATTAATCTTTCCTCTCTTGCTCTCATAACATCCAGAATTAGCTTCCGAAATTTCATACACATTTGTGCTAATCAGACTATAGTTACTTGCCCCCGCTTCGGCCAATTTGACTTCCCCGTGTTTAGAAGGCACAATCACAGATTATGATTGGGCTGAAGGAATTTGCCTTATGACTATTTTTAGCATGTTCTTTATTGAGCTCATGGCGTCACGATTTGATGTGTTTGGACAAGATGATCATGATCTGGAAGCAGCCGATCCTGCAAGGGATCTTATTAGACGAACTACCCGAGATGAGAAAGTTGACGCATTAAAAACATCTTCGCCCTCAGATGGTAACAGTTACAGAGAAACTGGCGATAGCCCTCAAGCTTCCAACGCCGTACTAGAACAACATGATCACGAGAGCTCAATTACCCGGATACCGACATCTGGAGAAGGACCATCTAGAGGTAGATCAAGTATTCCAGGTCGGCCTGATGATTTATCATACCCTCCTGGAGGTGAGGATCACCTCGGACATCAACGAGAACACCATGAAGATGGTGATCATTTTGCTGCTCAAATGACCGCACTATTCATTCTTGAATTTGGTGTCATATTTCATTCTATTTTTATCGGTCTCACACTTGCCGTCACAGGTGATGATTTTAACGTCCTTTACATTGTCCTTGTTTTCCATCAAACATTTGAAGGTCTTGGTCTTGGAGCTCGACTTGCCACGGCTCATTGGCCTAAGAAGAAGGGATGGATGCCATGGGCTCTGGGAGCAGCTTATGGTTTCACAACACCTATTGCAATTGCTATTGGCTTAGGTGTTCGTACAACATTTGCCCCAGGTAGTCAAAAGACTATGGTTATCAATGGTGTATTCGATTCCATCAGTGCTGGAATTCTCATCTATACAGGATTGGTGGAATTGATGGCACATGAATTCATGTTCAATCAAGAAATGCGTAAAAGTTCAATGAAAATGATGCTATTTGCTTTCGGATGCATGGTTGCAGGAGCAGGTTTAATGGCGTTATTAGGAAAGTGGGCTTGAAAGAACATATATCTTTATTATATTACAAGTCTTAATCATATAGATGGCTATGGGTATAGGTATTTTCGGAGTATGAGCTGATTGGAGCTTAAGTGGGATAAAGGCGGATTGGCGTTGAAAAGAAATGCTTTTTGGAGGATTATTTGTGTATATGTTACGATGAAATTAGCATGGGTATTGGAATTGGTGGTTATGATATGAGGATAGGATGGTATGATTTGGTATGTTGATGATGAATGGGATTAATGGATCGATGTTTATCGAGGCGTCTATTATTTGATGTTAGAAATTAGATGAGATGGTATAGATGAACAAGAAGAAGATAGAGAATATGAGGAGATGAGGAGATGAAAGAAATAAATAAATATTATGAATTTTGAAATATTGAGTTCTATGTGATTATTACTTTTTGGTTGTGTGATTTCGGGTTGAGTTTAATATTTGGGTATATTGAGCTTTTGTTTTTTGTTTGGGTTGATTTGGTTTCGAGGGGATGGAGGGGATGGAGGGGTGAGATTAGGAATCAAGGGTTAAGGATTGAAAAAGGGGAGGAAAGGAGAGGAGGGGAGGAGGGGAGGAGGGGAGGAGAAGGGGGAGGAGAAGGAAGAGAAGGAGGAGAAGGAGGAGAAGGAGGAGAAGGAGGAGAAGGAGGAGAAGGAGGAGAAGGAGGAGAAGGAGGAGAAGGAGGAGAAGGAGGAGAAGGAGGAGAAGGAGGAGAAGGAGGAGAAGGAGGAGAAGGAGGAGAAGGAGGAGAAGGAAGAGAAGGAGGAGAAGGAGGAGAAGGAGGAGAAGG